AATTTTAGTTGGTATGAAACCTACTGCTGAAAATGGCTTAGGACATAACCTGGTTTTCTTGGTCCAGACTAATGGTAGGTTCAAAAACTCACCTGCAATCAGTTTCTGATGGTAATCCTAGTACAGTTTTTCTTTCTGAAGAAAAAGTTCCAACATCAAGATTCTCACAGACTGAGACGTATCCATTTCAAGCACTTCCCATAGAGAATCCATCTTGCCCTCTCTCCAAATAATCTAAAACTTGTTGCCCATGTGACAACTGCTGCAGCCCCGAATCAACACTGGATGTGACTCCCCTTGCAAGTTAGCACAGGTTTCGGACGAGCCAAGCAGATAAAAGGGGAACCCTGAAGACAGCAGACAAACGAGCTGCAGCCTTAACTTGGCAGAACTAATTATTAAAATAGTGATTTAGGAGATTTTTCAAATGCCACTCTTAGCTGCAGATCTCATTTGAGAAGTCTAACCCTCTGCTTCAGGAATGAACATTCTTGAGGACAGCCCTGGCTGGTTCCCGTGGTTTGGTGTAATTATTAATAGCGACCCCTTTCACTCTCACGAGTCCTTGTTTGGATAATAAATTCTAGGATCATTTCTTACAGGCCTTTTTCAGAGTAAAATCCATCCTTTCAAGATATATTCCTTGCATTAATCTAAGAAAAATTACCTTACCTTTCCTACAGCAGAGTCTTTGGCACCCTATCTTGCAGTCATTTAAGTATTTCTTCAGAGCAATAATTAGGAACCGCATAACTAATTAGTAACTCCCTATGGCCCTCTGATTGGTGAAAGCAAACAAGGTAACTTCACAGGGACTCACCTCATACAGCAGCCCTGAGAGGGAAATGGGAGGGTTTCAAGTTTATATTTGTAAAGCAATTTCTAGTCTCTTTATTTTTTTTAAAGAGGAAGATTAGCCCTGAGCTAATTGCTGCCAATCCTCCTCTTTTTGCCGAGGAAGACTGGCCCTGAGCTAACATCTGTGCCTATCTTCCTCTACTTTATATGGTGTCGCACCACATGGTGTGCCAAGTGGTGCCATGTCCACGCCTGGGATCCGAACCAGCGAACCTCGCATCACCGAAGCAGAGCAGGTGAACTTAACCGCTGCGCCACCGGGCCAGACCCTTCTAGTCTCTTTAATTCATTTTTCCATTTAATAAGTGCAAGACTATGTACCCACATTGGACTACAAGGGAATGGAGGCTTAGAAAAATTTGACTCTGTGCCTTCTGGAATGCCATTCCACGCTGGAATTCTGAGCACTTTGTAGTCTCACACGCCTTCTACAGACTTGAGTCACCTGCCCTCCTGTTCTTTGGGCGAGGGTGTGCTGTGCTCTAGCAATCCGAGGGTGGTCAGATTGTCAAAACATCACCAGAAATGCTTTGAGAGTTACTGCGGAAAACAGGTTTCCAGCGTGCAGTGTAGCTGCCGGGAGGAGGAGCCACATGGCACAACCCCAAGCCGTCCTCTTGCCGGAAGGAGAGCTGGCTTGTCAGGAGAAAGCCGGGCATCCTTCTGGATTGTTCTGAAGTGTCTGAGGCAGATGGATTCGCAGGTTGGGACAGGTGGGCTCTTAGGAAGTCTCATAATCTGGGGTAGAGAGAGGACAGGAGGCAAGGATGGTCCACCGGTTTGCTAATGCCCTTTTCATCTAAAGATGCTGACCTGAATCTAGTTTATATTCTGTCCCCTACCTGGCTGCCTGTTTGCAGTCTAGTTCTGAGCGAAGAAAGCAGTTCAGAGCCAAGCAAGAGAGCACAGAAAGGTTGGCCCTCCAAAAACTGTGCCTGGCGAGCTCTTATCTTGGGGTACAAATGTGCACAGCTGAGGAGAGGACAGAGCCATGAAACCAGAGAGAACTATGGCATAATGTTTGTTTTGAACCCTTCCACGTGACCCTTCTACAGCTTTTCTCCCAAATCTCCCAAAGGCGGGTTGGGGTGGGGCTTAAAAAGAGTGAAGGATAGAAAACCCCAGCTCTTGGGTGATGGTGCCCTTGTGGGAGTAATTAGAATCGGCTGAGGTGTCACTCCTGCTGGAAGATGTCTAGAAGACCCGAAATGCTAACATTTTAGGGTCAAAAGTACTCTCCAGAGATCTTGCAACCCAACTCCCTCATTTCGCTTTACAGGGTCTTTCAGGATTTTACTAAACTGCTAGCCTGGGATGCCCACCAAGCACTTCAGTCTAAAAGATTTAAAAAATATAAACCGAAAGTAATTTCTTCCCACTGGGAAGAATAGTCATGAGACCTAAATGAATGACTCTGGAAACAAATTGCAATACTTCCTGCCTAGCCAGGGAGCTCGCTCACTGCGGCCTGCCACTGCAGCTGACAGAGGGATCTCCTGGCCCCAGAGAGGCAGTGAAGGGGCCATGAAGCTGAAGCTTCAGGATCCGTTCCTTAATTTTGTATTCTTTTGCTTAAAGACCTGCCACCTGCCCCACTCCCGCTTCAGTTTTGTAAGCTGCAGGTCCCAGAAAACCTGAATCTTGGCCTGCCTGTCCCACACAGTACATCTAAACGCCTGATGCTGCAACGTGCTCTTGATCAGAAGAGGCCAAGGTGAGGGTGAGGATGACTCAGCCCAGACCAGGCTGGGCAAACAGGCTGGGACCTGTGAAGAAGCTGGGCCAGGCCTAACAGAGGGCTGGCTCACGCTATGTCTCAAACTTCTACTCTCCTCCCTGTTTCCACCGCTAGGAGCTCCTTGCCCAGACCAAACTTGTCTTTCAGATCTACAGAACCAGGATTTTAGATCTGGTGGGCGTCTTATTTTGTTATCATCCCTAATTTTGCAGGCTCTAAGGATGGCTTAAGTATCTCAGGTTCGTGAATTCCCCTCCCTGCAGACTGAAGCCACAGTCTTGGCCAACACTTTAAGCAGGGAGAATACTTGGCTCACTTGTTAGATATAATCTGTCTGGTGTGTCCCTGTGTGGGTGGAAGCCAAAGAACGATGTCTACCTGTCTAAGCACCAAACACAAACCAGCAATTCTACACAGCTTCACTCAGTGCCCATCACAAGCAAAGCTTCTGAGTTACATTCCGAGGGGACAGAAAGCTGATAAGATCTAATGCCCGTCCACGGTGTTTATATCCGAGAACATGGTAGGAAAGCTTGTCCCTCATTTGATATTAACAGCTGCCATTTATTCACCACCACTGTAGGCTCTCACATTTTATTATAGATATTATCTCTAGCCTTCGCAACAACCCCATGAGGTAGATGTGGAAACTGAGGCTCAGAGAGCTTATGCGATTTGTCCAGGTCAAGCATCTAGGGCATCCCTCTGCTTGTTAAGGGCTTATGGAGGCTGAAGGATAGCGTGTGCCATGTCAGATGAGGGCAGAAGGACAACGAGCATGTCAAACCTTCTATTCTTTGTATCACACAGGCCTGTATTTAAATCCCACTTCTAGCACTTTGTGTGGACTTGGGAAAGCTGCTTTCTGTCTTGGTTTCCTCATATACAAATTGAACAAAATACTTCATAAGACAATGGGAAAGACGAAATGAAATCAGGTGGACATTGCTCAATTCTCAGTGCGTTCGGGTACAAAATGACTCATTTTGATACAGAACGCTCATCCCCTAGATCCGCACGCCACTTCCTCCCCAACTTCGGGTTTTTACTGAAGTGTTACCTTCTCAGTGAGGCCTTCCCCAGCCACCCTCTCTAAAAGGCCAACCCCAGTCCAATTCTTCAGACCCCTCTCCCTACCTTATCGTCAACTAACATATTACAAATTGTACTTATTTTTGTTTGTCTTGTCTGTCTTTACTACAAGAAGGCAAGGTTTTTGAGACCAGGAGTCTTTGCCTGTACTATTTCTGTAAACTCCCAAGCACAAATGTACGTTGGTTAAAAGAATGCATAAAAAAACCTCTTTGGGGGGCTGGCCCCGTGGCCGAGTGGTTAAGTTCGCACGCTCCGCTGCAAGCGGCCCAGTGTTTCGTTGGTTCGAATCCTGGGCGCGGACATGGCACTGCTCGTCAGACCACGCTGAGGCAGCGTCCCACATGCCACAACTAGAAGAACCCACAACGAAGAATACACAACTATGTACCGGGGGGCTTTGGGGAGAAAAAGGAAAAAATAAAATCTTTAAAAAAAAAAACAAAACCTCTTTGGCACAGAAAATTGGCGTTGAATTTGGCTTTTTCCTCACTAGCTGTTTGATCCTGGGTATATTATTTAAAACGTCTAGGCTTTGGTTTCCTCCTTTGTAAAATGGGGAGAAAAGTGGTATCTATTTTTAAGATGTCTGGGATGATTAAGTGACCCATGTATAAAAACTGACACATTGCAAGTGCTGGATAAATGCTTGTTCTTATTAGTACTTAAATAACCAGTCCAGTTGTTTAAATTGTCTTTCAATGCTGCTCAGAGCTTTTAGGATAGGAGAGGAGGAGGCTAAAGGCCATGGATGCCCTCAGCATCTTCAGCCCAACTGTCTTCCCGTCAGACCATTGACAGTGGAACAGGTGTGAGAGGGCTCCGTTGACGCTCCCAGGCTACTGAAGGGCCAGGATTACCATTACCGCCTTAGTGAACAACAAGGGAGGCTGGGGCAGCTCCAATGACTTGCCCGAGGTCACTCATTTCAAAAACCAGGGCAAGCAGGACCCAAACCCAGATGTTGAGCTCCTGAAATTCTATTATCCCCTGCCTCTCTTCTCAGCTCTCTCTAGAGTGTGGGACGGTGGCGGGTCTGTGGTTTCAGGAGCCCTGTGTTCAGCGGAGCTTGTCACTGACTTTCATCTCTCGCAATTCGCTTAAGTTTTTTGACACTCAGTTTTCTCGCACGCAAAACATGGACAATAAAACCCACCCCTCACAGCTTTGTGGCCAGGATCCCACGCGAGAAATGCTCTTTGGAAACTGTAAAGCGCTGTAGGAATAACCTCTGCAACAGGCATGAACACGCAAGCCCCCTCCTTGGCAGCCGGAAGGCGCTCCTGTCTCCACTCCCCTCTCAGGCCGCGCGGCAGCGGGGTAGGAAGGAGATTAACCCCTGGGCGCGGGTCTGGGCGTTTCTCCAGGCGGCCGGGAGGAGTTCCGCCCTCGCCCCCGCCCGCCGCCTCCTCTCCCTCGCGCCCGCACTCGCGCTCCAGGAGTCTCCCCGGCCCAGGCCCCGGCTGCGCTTCCCCGGCCGGCACAGCGCGGCGGCGGGCAGCCAGGATGCAGGCCCCGCACAAGGAGCACCTGTACAAGCTGCTGGTGATCGGCGACCTGGGCGTGGGCAAGACCAGCATCATCAAACGCTACGTGCACCAGAACTTCTCCTCTCATTACCGGGCCACCATCGGCGTGGACTTCGCGCTCAAAGTGCTCCAATGGGACCCGGAGACAGTGGTGCGCCTGCAGCTGTGGGACATCGCAGGTGAGCACCCGGGGAGGGGGGCCAGGGCCGGGATCGCCTTGCAGCTGGTCTCCAGTCCCGGGGCAGCGGGCTGCGGCCAAGTGGGAGACCCAGATCTCTGGGGCGCTGCGCCTAAAGAGACTTTCCCGGTGGGTTGGAAACTTGGTTTCAAAGGAAACAAAAAAGTTTCTTGCCCTCGCTGAAACTTCAAGTGCTTTCCCTGGCTCGTTGGAGCTGTTGCTTTAACTTCCCGGCGCACCCTTCCCTGGGATCTCTCTGCCCAGCGCGGGTGTCCCCAGGAACCCGGAGGGAGACTATCTGGAATCGCATTCAGTTCTCGGCCTCCTGCTCATTTTCCGGGAGCCGGCACTCCTGCCAGTGACGCAGCCCTGAGTGTCACGCCCGCCCTTCCGCGCCCGGGCGAGCGGGCGACCGAGGGGAAGCCCCAGACGAGTGAACGGCGGGAACCGGGAGAGATCCAGGCTAGAGGAGTTGACCAATTCCTGTTTTCAATCGCTCACTTTATTCCGACTTTTGCCACCTGCTTTACTAGTCTTCAGTCAAGGGAGTTCGAGGGTCTCTGTTTTGAGAAAGCCAAAGACCTTTGTGTGTGTGAATGGGGGCAGAGTATTATTTCTCTCTCTCTCTCTGGCTCTCTGTCGTCTGTCAAAAGGAGCTTGTGTATATATTTTAAGGCCATTCATGTCTAAGGGTCTATGAGATTAGCTGTAAAGATTTCTTGATTTGGCCCTGAAGTTTTCATTGAGAAACTCAGAAAATGAAACCTTCTTGACAATGTTGGAAATCAGAATTTGATTCAGAGAGTTTGTACCAGGAGTTAGGCCCAGTCAAATGTGAGGGGGCAAAGTGTATTCCAAGAGTGAGTTCCTGGATTGAGGCTGTTTGCGGCCTGGGCGTGTCCAACCCCTCAGATTCTGGCTCTGCCACACGCTAGCCTGCTCAGTGGCTTCAGACAAGTCCCTTCAGCTCAGGGGCATCCCTGTTGAGTGGAGAGGGGTTGGACAATGACAGCTCAGGAACTTTCTTGATCAGAAGTGTTAAGGTCCTCTGGGATTCTCCATGAGCCACTTCAGACAGTCCCACTTCACCTCTGTTTCATGCTCTGTGGCACCAGGAAGCTTTCTAAGTGCTAGACCCAAACTAGCCGCTTCTCTTTCAGAAAATGGGTTCATTCTAGGTGGCGCATTTGACTGGAAACACTTTATCATGGCTTGAAGTAAGAACAAATGTGGAAAATTTTTGAAAGGCCATTTCTGGTTCTGGGGACTCCAGTGCCTGTTTAATCATGAGCTACCAGGTCTTATGATAAAACTCTTGGCCTGTGGATAGATTCCTGCATTTGGAGTCATCTTCAGCAGCTCTCATGGGTTATCAGAGACTGGAAGATGTCATCAGCCGCTATCCGATTGGGCTTTTTGTGTAGAAAATCCACTATGAGTCTGTGCACTCATAGTGTTGTTGCTGCATGTTTTAGTGTCTGAAATCTCTTTTGGCTGCATTGAAGTCTCCGGGACTCAGGTTTGGAATCAGCTTACTGTTTGAGGGGGGATGTAGCTGTAATTTAGACATTTCTGTCAAGTGCAAGCAAGGCTGTGACCTCAGGCATGTTATATTATGTCTGTGGGTCTCAGTGTCCTCGCCTATCAGGGAAGGTAGAAGGGTAGAGTGATTAGGAGCCTTAATTCCAGAGTCGAACTGCCTCTGTCTGAATCCCTTATTTATCCCATATGTCCTGGGCGATTTTAGGCAGGTTCCCTAACCTCCTGGTCTCAGTTTCCTTCTCTGTAAATGGCAGAATGCTTTCTCCCAACAAATGAGAGATGAGCAACCAACAAATTCTAGCTAAAGTCCGTAGAACCTACTATCTAGGAGAGTGGCAGGGACTATTGTTACAATAGCTACACCTTTTTTGTTTTTTTGAGCCTGTGTAAATGCTAGGCAAGAAGGACATGATATAAATGTGCTGATTAAATTCTAATAAATGATGATTCCTCTATTACACATATAATCTGTTCCAAGACACCCAGCACACTTTTTCAGCTTTATTCATATTAGAACATGCCATCATGAGCGACTTAACCCCCAAGCTTAGAAATGCCTCTGGAGCTGTGATCCTGGACTATAGTTACACAAGTCTGTGTAAATAGGAAACCTGAGGAGCCTTGAAAAGTCAGTCCTACAGATATGGTGGTGTGCAGCATCTAAGTGGGAGAGCTTCTTGTTCCTATGTTCATTGGTAACCCGTCTTTGGCAGCCTCTAGCCCAAAGGCCCTGTGGGCTGAGTTAGAAGTTGGGCTGCAGGCAAGGCTGGTTGGAGGGAAGCTGGGCCATTGAAGGAAAGGATGATTGGAGCACAGTACTGACATGTTTCAAGCTGCATACGTAGACCCGTGAGTTCGTATGAAATCCAGCCTCATCTGCCAGGCTCCAGTCGCTAAGTGTACCTTATATACCTTCAAGTCAGCCTGTCTGTCCACACACAGGAATGCTTCTCTCTTTCCTTTGTGCTCGCTCTGGTGTGCGTCTGGAAAGAACAGGTAGTGAAGGCTAGTGGGCCTCACTTTGAGAGGGTTGGGGGTGTGGATGAGATAGAGGGGACCTGCCCCGTCCTGATAGGATATCAGGTCCGTCTGCTATAGGGGGAATCTTTGCTGGGTACACTTCTGATATTCATTTGATTCAATGCCAAGTCGGGCCCTATTTGTCCAACTAATTCTCATGATCTATCTCTTGTAGCCACTTAGACTGGCCAGTCTGGCTCCTGAAAGACTCCAAAAGGTACCTTTTAGGGCTTGTAAAGTAGGCCTTGAGACCAACTTGATGACTTCCACAAGCCCTATAGGGACAGCAATTGCCCCAAATCCCAGTGATTCCACCGTAGAGGTGCAGCTGGGTCAGCTGTGGGTTCAGAAGCTCTTGATAGAGTCAGAGAAATTAAGTCACTTTGCCTAAGGCCACTCACCTAAGACGTGGAAGAGCTGGATTTGACCCAGTTCTGTCTGACTTGGAATCAAGCCATGCTTTTCATGAGCACAGGCCTGTGAGTGCCTGGGCACAGTTGGCCCACTGGGGTCATGCCCTCTTCCCTTTTAAAGGCATGGCTCCTTTAGTAGCTATTTTATAGGTTATCTTTGCCTTCTCCTTCCTATTTGTAACATGTTTTTAGATATTCATCAGTACCACTGCGTAGAGAGTAGAAGAAAATGGAATGGAAATCTATTTCTGAAAATTTGATTCTTGGTTATAGGGTTTTTCTTTTTATAGTTTTATCAGGAATAAAGTAAACAAAAAGTTCGCACTCGAGACTCTCCTTTCCTACCCCTCTCCAAACCCTGACACTATAATTACTCCATTAGTACTTTCAAAGAGAAATATACAATTTTGCCTCGAACTCTTGGTGTGCGTGGGGCCCCAGCTGCAGGAATTAGGACAGTCATAGTAATAGTAGCTAACATGTCTTAAGCATTTATTCTTACAATTGGCCATGCATATTTAATTTTTCATTTCCCAATGAAATAGCTAGTTAAGCAGTAGTGCTGGAATTGAAACCTTGGCTGTTGAATCCAGCGCCCAGCTTCCTAAGTAGAACTTTGCTCTGCTTTGCACAATTTAAAAATAGAATACTTTAGACATATGCTAAATATATTCTAAATTATAGATATTCTAAAAATGTTATATTTGACGTTGCACAAGCCACAAAACCTTGCTGGACTTCGGTTGCTGCATTTATAAAATGGCGATTGTCTCATTTTCCTGTAATATCGCATATTTGGATTACATTATCTCTTGCAGTCTCTATCAGCTCTAATACATTCTCACTATGTCTAGGTAGTACATGGCAGCAGATTCCAATTTGTTTACTTAGTAGCTTTGTGACTTGTACATGTTACTTAACTTCTATGCCTGGGTTTCCTGTTTGTAAACTGGGGACAATAGCAGAGCCTGCAAGTTAGAGTTGGTAAAGAATGAAATGAGTTAATTGATATAATGCTGTGCCTGACACATAATAAATGCTGAATAAATGTTAGCTATTACTCTTGTTGTTTTCATTGTTTTACAAACTGCTGTCACATACATTTTCCTGCTGGATCTTCCCAGCATCACTCAGGGTATCGATAGAGCAGAAGGTGTGAAACCTATTTTATAGTAGAGAAAAATCAAGAATCAGAGAGGTAGGGACTTGCCCAAGGTCACAAGAGCTAGCAAGTGGCAGAGGAGGACAGGAACAGCACATCTGTTTAACACCACCTTTTATATATTTGTGAGACAGATGACCGAGTCTATTGGCCATCAGAAAACCCAATTCTAGATTTAAAAAATATAGTAGAAAAGAAATTAATTTGCAGATAATTTAGAGAGCACTTCTTCACCATGTAAAAGTTTCACTGCGAGGCTGTGCTAAATAATAAGTGCCTCTAAATAATTAAAACAAGAGCCAACTTATAAGAAAAATATTTCCCTGCAGGGCACACCTACAGTAACTTTCCCCACCTAAGCTGTGTGACAAAGAAGCATTGGAGGACATTAGCTGTCCTACAGGCAGAGCGGCAGGGGGAGGCAGCCTGGGCCTAGAATCAGGAGCCCCAGGACAATGACTCCCCCCACCAGTGGCTATGAGATTCATCTGGTTCACAGTGATGTGTTAATATAGTTTTAAAGTGCTTCCACATTGTGAAATTCAATGGAGGGAAGGGTTTGTATTTGACCATCTCTTCAATATCTGTTTTTAAAAGACTGTAATTCTCCATAGAGTTTTAGAAGGGTCTTAAATATCAATGTAATAGAGCTAGAAATGTAGAAAGAGCTAAATTGGTCAACCATTATGTCAGGCAAAAAAATAAAAATGCTTGTCCAGTCTGGGCCACTCTCTGCTGGGCAGTTTATTACCTTGTTTTTAGCCTGGCTAATTACACATTTTCTAAATACCATGTAGATTAACATGGTACGTGCATACAGGTAAATAATATATACACTGAGCAAAATGGTGAACTTTCAAAACA